TAATAATAATAATAATAATAATAATAATAATAATAATAATAATAATAATAATAATAATAATAATAATAATAATAATAATAATAATAATAATAATAATAATAATAATAATAATAATAATAATAATAACAATAATAATAATAATAATAATAATAATAATAATAATAATAATAATAATAATAATAATAGTAATAATAATAATAATAATAATAATAATAATACAACAGAAATAATAATTAATTTTAAAAATTGTAATTTAGATAAAGAATTGTCAAAATTAGTATAACTATACAAATGCAGATAATTAATTTTGTATGATTTGCATATTTGTATTGTTTGTTAAATTTTGCATATTAAAAAATGATTAAAAATTGATAAATGTATAAATGCGGAAATTTTTAGAATCAATTTTATTCTTGCTTCAAGTAATTATGGCATCAAGTCATTACTTGGAATTTGGTCGTGAACCGGGGATAAATGGCAATAGCATATATTTTACAACAGCTGAGGATTTTAGTGGGAGTACTGTAACATCGGGACAAGTTAAACAAATGGATGAGGTGTGACATAAAATTAGGATTACTGTCCTATAATAAAATCAAACCCAACTTATAATTGTAAAGAAAATGAATAAGATGTACCATAAAATTAAAATGAAACTAACGAACTGTGATAGGCCTAATTATCACAATCAATTCATTATTAAAAATATTATTTCCTATATACGGAAGCTCAAATTTTCCTACCCATTTTTATAAAATTAAATATATTTTTGATCAATATTAACAATTTTGATGATTAAATATTTTTCCGGAAATTAATATTTTTTAGGGAAAAGTTACAAGTTCGATTACGAATGATACCACTATTAAATCGGATGATTATTGTAAATTAAACATCTCGAATGATTCGAATATATTTATTCCTACGAAGGGAACAAATTGCGCCGCTCGAATTGGGCGCAAAGCAATAATTCGTGTATGTGTTTTCATTTTGTTTCTATAATTTGCCTCACTCAAAAATTATTAATTGCTGTATAAGGTGTTGATAGTCGAGAATTAGAAAAAAAATAAAGTATTCGTTTATTTTTGTTGAGGAAATTTGAACATTCAAAATTCTGTCACATCATAGTTCCTTTGCATTAATTGCTTAAACAAGGAATTGATATGCGCAAAAGGTTGCATGAATGTGATCTAATCATATTAGAATTAAATTAAATTTTTCAAATAACTTTTTTGTAGACAAAATTTTATCGAAATTAATTTTTACAGGGAAATTTTCTAAAAAAGAACACGCAAAAAACTATCCCAAATTTAATTTCTATAATCATTTACCTTTCTTCTACTTATCCATTGCTTTCAGGTTTTAATCCATTTCTTTTCCTCTTTTCTTTCCTGATTTCAGGATGAAACTACGGAAGGAAAGGATAAGAATGTAAGAAAACAACAAATTGTATCGATGTATGCGACACCAGCGCTCAACAATGTATTATCGTGTCACTTTTTAAATTTTTTCTTTCTCTTTGTTTTTTTTTCCGAAAATTTTCAAATTTCAGTTTTAAATTCAAATTTTCAAGTATTTTCATTCAAATTTTATTTTTTTTCTGGAATCATAACTCTTTTTCGTCCTTTTTTTCTCTTTTTTTAAGTGCCGTGATATTATTGATGGTAATTGGCAAAATGATGATGAAGGAATGAATAAGTTCAAGAACAAACAGGAAGTAAGTAAGCTAAATGATTTCAAAACTTCCTGATCCGATTGAAAAGATTTCCACCAATATTTCAGAAAAATTTTGAACTCATTTTTGCTGCTCAATTTTCATCTAATTGCAGTTAAAATTGCTGGAACAGAAGGAGTGAAATTTTACATGACGTTGAAATTTAGTTAAATAAATGTTGTGAGGTGACCTAATAGTTATCGTAATTTTTATACTAACATTATTAATAATATAATTATTAACATTATTATTGTCATATGAATATTACTATTCATATTATAATCACTAATATTATTTCAAATCTTCAACAATTATTTCATTAAGCAATCATTTATTATCGCAATTTTTATCATGACAGCAAATGAAATTAAGGATGCTAGCGCTTAGACTGATAAACTTCTTTAACTGTTAGCATCAACGTTTGGACTTGGACGCTTAGACCGCTTGAACCGGATGCATGGACTGATAAATAAATCATTGATAAGCTTTTGATAAACTTTTTTCATCTAGTCGCCGGATTGAAAAAATAAAGTAAAAGCAAACTTTATAAGGAGGGATATATTACCGTTAATGTTTTCATTGTCTATATTATTGTCTAATTTTAATTTTGTCGCAAATTTTATCCATCCTATAAGTTCTAAATCTTATTCATTTCCTATTAAATTTCGATTAATTCAATTTGTGTTTTATCTAATCGATATTGATAATAAAATGAGTGGGAAGGAGTTGTATGAGTTAACTGGTTTTTTTTCTTTTTTTTGAAATTATTTATTGGAATAATTTGAATATCATAAATTTCCTAGATGGATAATATGACAATGATGGGAAATGCTGTAAATCAACAAATACAAGTACCACCACCAGTAAAACTTTTACTCTATTTGTATACATTCTGATTGTTTATTAATTAATTTGTTATATTTAATTATGTTAATTATTTTAGGCTGAAAGTGCTTACATAAGCATGTCTAATTTGTATAATTGTATTAATGGTAAGAGTAAGGAACATTATTATTACATTCCTCCACCAATAATTGAAAAATATGGTATGCAAACTTTTGGTGATTTATCTTTTTTTTTTCTTTTTATTTTTCGTTTCATTAATCCTTTTTAAACTTATCAATAAATTTTAGCGTTTCAATGAATTTATAAAATTAAAATTTACATAGTTTGTTAAAAATTCAAATAATTTAAATTTATCATTATTTCTGCTTTATTATCGTATCACTTAGTTTTATTGCCAGATTGTTTAAATCCCATCAAATTATATCATAATTTGATTTTCTCTTTTTTATCATTTTTCCCTCGCTCATTTTTTAATTTCTATTTGTCGACCAATAAACTTATTTGTGGAATAAAAAAGTGATTTGAATTTGCATATGCAATTTTCAGTAATTGAAGGAACGGAAACGGATACTGAACATACGGAAAATAAAATACCGGAAGCAAAAAAATCATTCAAGGAAATCTCAAATCCGTCGCAATTTTCTTCTCGGGATGCGCACACATTTGGTAGTTCATCGGAGGCATATACGGCGTATAAATTTGAAATTAGTACAATTGAGTCAGAATATGCTTTTAATGTTAGCAATTTTATATTACTTATTCATTTCTCTACTTTAATGCTAATTCCATCCGTCTTTTAACTTTACATTACTTTCAGTTTGTTAAGAGATTATTAAAATAAGTAAGTTTACCTTTTTCCTTACCTATTTCAGGTTGAGGAATATGGTAATATTAATGAGGAATCCTTGCAATTAAATGGAAGCAATAAAACGGAATCAAAAGATGAAATTTCGGCAAAACATGAAAAGTTTCCGGATTCATACATTTCTAAGGTAGAGAGTAATGGTGCTGAAAAATATACTACTAGCACAATGATTGAATCGGAAAAGCAATATATTCAATCATATTATAATGCTAATGAGCTAAGTCAATGGAAAGTTTATTAATTTAAAAAAAAGACAAACAAACAAAATTCTTCTCCTCTTTCCATTTCCTTTACCCATTATCCGTTTTCCGTTTTCTGTAATCCGGTTTTGTTATCTTCTACCTTTCAATCTTCATCCTCCTATAATTGCTATCATTTCAACATTTATGATGGAAATAATTCGCTATGTGAATGTTCTGGCTAGTAGTATAAATGAATAAATTCATCTATAATTATGAATCTTTGATATATTCAATAAAACCACAATTCAACAATTTCCTTTCCTGATGTAAAATTTTAGGCTATGAAAAAGAATAAATTAAAATTTGAAAAAAAGAAATCAAATTAGCAATTTTCCTTTTTGCTTTGAAATTTTATACTATAAAAAAAAGGAAGAAATTGAAATATCAAAAGAAAAAAAAATGCGATATAAACTCTAAAATTTTAGAATGAAAATTTTTCCAAATTCAAAATTGTTTGTATAAAATTTATTTTATTTCAAAGAAGTAAAACGATTTACATTGTTTTTTAGTTCAGTAATAAAGTATTGTATTACAAATGATCGATGAGTAAGCAATTAAAATTAAATTACAATAAATGTTAAAAAAAAACATAATGAAATTGCATTATTTGTAATCAAAGCAAAGATGCATTTTAAAAAAAAAAATTGCTTAATCTTCATTAATTACATTTTATCACCAACAGTTAAAACAATTGATTACTATAAGCTCCATTTTCTGTAGTATATTCCGGATGGAATAAAATGTTAATTGTTGCTACATCCGGAAAATATTAAATTGGCTAATTTTTTTTTCCCTCATCTGATAATTGTCGGTAAAATTTTAATTTCATCGAACTGTTCAATTGAACCAAATTTTTGGTTTCATGTATGAATTAGGTTACATTATTGTAGTATATAATTATCAATCCAACAATATATGACAGATAGCTTTTGGATAATTTGAAAGGGATAATATGTTTGGGTACGGTTAAAAGTTGATAATATTTTTGGGTAACAGATAGGATAACAGATATTTTTGGGTAACAGTTATTAATAATATTTTTGGGTAAAGTATTTTTAGGTAACAAATAGCCTTTGGATAAAGTTGAGAGAGAATATGTTTAGGTATAGTTAAAAGATTAATAATATTTTTGGGTAAGGTTAAAGATTGACATACTTTGGTAAGAGCAAAGACTAATATGTTTGCATACGGTTGAAGGTTAATATGTTTGGATAAGGCTAGGAGTTGATATGTTTGAATAAGGTTAAGATTTAATATATTCTGATAAAGATAAGGGTTAATAATATGTTTTTGATAAGGTTAAAGGTTACTAATATATGTTTTGATAAGAGTAAAGGTTAATATGTTTAAGTGAAGATAAAAAGATAAGAAATGGGTGGATAGCAATGTTGAAAACCATCGATCATATTATCAATTGCAATGATAAATTGCAATTCTTCTCTTTTCTTAGCTCATTTTAAGTCTTCAAATTATTTCATTTTGTGATTGTTCAATGTAAAACTGTTTCTTTCCCATATCAAATAATACTACTCATTGACCACATCCTGACCACGGTCCATTATTCTCACCAAAAATTCGAATAATATAACATATGGAATATATGTATATGTGTATGTGTGTATGTATATATATGTGTATGTGTATGTGTATGTGTATGTGTATGTGTGTGTGTGTGTGTGTGTGTGTATGTGTGTGTGTGCTTTGCTTTGGTTATAGCCAGCCCATTTGATCACAGAGCAAAGTGGATAGCACGAAAATTTGGCAAAAACGATGTGAAGATGCTGAATTCGGAATATGGTATCGCAATGTAGTTGGTACCTTCAGGCACCAATCCTAATGCATTAGCCCGTCGTAGCATCATCATCATCATCATCATCATTAACATCATCATCATCATCAACATCATTATCATTATCATTATTATCATTACCATTAGTATTATCATATCTCTTATCCTTCCTCATCTATCCCTTAAGCTTATTATTATACTTGATAGCAAGTATAATTTGTAAATCATATTTATCACATGCTCATTTCAACTTATCCATTATAGCTACCGTTTACTGAAACTAAAAATACCGTATCCTTATTTCTAGAAATATATCATGTATTTTCCTT